TATTGCGGCCTGTACCCATTTTGGTGCAGGAATTATGCATTAACGAATAGTTTAGTTATATTGAATTCGATACGTGTAACGTTTCTTGTGTATTGATTCTGCAAAGTAATGTCACTTTTTTACAAGCTTCAACAACTTCTTAGATTCTGGCAACAAATTGAGCTACCACTAATAATTTGAGTACAAAATTTGCTTGTGAATTCAGGCTTTATTCATGAACATCAAAGAGCGGATCGAGACAATTACGTAAACATCCTTTATCAGAACATTATCATAGGTACTTTTTGAGGCCTTCGTTATTTGTAGTGACAATAATGCTACTCTTCACTTTAGGCGCCAACTCCGACTTCGACAAGCTGACACAGCTGGATCTTTCATATTACGGGGAAGGCTATGACTATTTATCTATAATGCACTACGAAAGCGATGAAGGTAGTAAGAACGGTAGAAATACGATAGAAGCAAAGGTAAGCAGACTTTGAGGAGCCTGTAGTCAGCATAGAATTGCACAACTCCAATGATTACAACCAAGGAAAGCCTACATTTTATCTGATTAATGATGTAATGTTTAGGACCCGCGATATACACCGCTTATGGGCAAGGGCATCGACTTTTCTCCATCGGATTTGAGACGATTGAATCGAGCTTACACCTGCTACGGCTACTTCTCTTAATCTTCTAAAACATGCGACTCACTTGCTTCTGCCAACAGGAAGAAATATAAATACACTGCCCACAGCTGAAATCTGCGCTGATTGTATAGTTTGCAATTTGAATGTTCGCGACACAGGTAGACGTATTTGTCTGTAATTAATGATGAAAACATTGATGCGAATCCATCAATAAATATGATAAGTTGATTTCATTTGGAAAAAAGCATACACAGTCTTTCCTACGCAGAATAACATAATTTGAATTCCCTAGATTCAAATAGCTTCAACTCCAATACTTATGCGCTGTGTTGGCTCGTTCGACATTAGGAATCTATACGCTGTATCACTCACCAGTTTGCATAAACCCGCGAAATGAGGCCGCGCGTGTGCGCCCGCATGAGGAAATTGATCATCAAGAACTAACCGTTTGCTTAGGCACTCGAAACGCTCCCTTTCTGTATTACTTCCATTCCTCTTGCTACACATTTAGATTTGTTTAGAGTTCATGTCTTAATTACATGGGCATTACAAATGGGGGGCAAGATCCTCGCATAATGGGTAATCGTGTAGAAAATGCGTGGTTTTTGTGTAAGCTTAGGGATGGTCAACCATTTTGAGACTAGAAATCGCAAACGC